CTGGTGAAACCTCGTACTCGGTTTGTAAATGTTGTGGCTTGGCTCTCCAACACACCGGTGTGCTGTACGAGTGACGAATTGGCATGTTCTGTTTACGTGACAACCCTTACTAGTTGGCTGTCGGGTGGTGGCAGGTTTTAACGACACATATGCTTTGGGTCTTTCGGTAAAGCCACGTGGATAGAAAAAATAATAAAAATATCACGACGTTTCGAAGGCAACACAAGCAATCGTCATCAGGTGAAAAAATATTGAGCTGCTGAGGCAGGATGTTATAAAGGTTTGAGATGGGTGTAGTCCAAGCGTCATAAACGAAGTGGGCGGGGCTAGTGATGAAATTTGCATGTAAATGTAAGATCTGAGAGCCGAGCTACCTCCACGACGACGAGGTGGCCATTGCATTGTGAGAGATAGCATGTCAATGTAAGGTCGTAGAGCCACCACCACTTCATGGAAAATGAGCAACGGTGGCTGTTAGTGAGACATTTAACCTGTTAATGTAACACCAGAGAGTCGAAAATAACTACTAAACATCACAATTATATATTTACGCGATCTAACCCAAAAACCTCTATTATAGGTATTTGACCTTTACAGAAAAAATATCGCATTTTGCTTAGCCCCAGCAATGGTTACCAAATGGCATGGAGTGGTTTTCTTCCTGGCAAATAGTGCTGTGCTCCACTGTGTAATGGGGGTGGCATTATTTGAGAGAGATGGAGACTGCCCGAAGCAGGCCACTATAATGACGTTGTGCTCTGTGTGCCATGCAGGTGAAGGCGGTGGAAGAAGTGAATGGTAACGCAAAAGAAGAAGACGACGATATTGATCTGTTTGGAAGTGATGAAGATGACGGGGAGGCAGAGAAGCTTCGTGAAGAGCGGGTCAAGGCCTACTCTGAGAAGAAAGCTAAGAAGCCTGTGCTGATAGCCAAGTCTTCGATCGTCCTGGATGTCAAGCCTGTACGTGACGGTTTCCTGGTTGGCGTTTGTGGCTGAGTGGAGGAGTTTGCTCATATGCATGCTCGTTGAACATTTTTTTTCACCTCGTGTGACCACTCTCGCATGACGGCCCATGCTCAACCAATCCAATTTCAAAGAAAATGTAATTTGGATTAATTGGGGTTACATTGGAGGGTGCGTAACGCTGTATAACTAATGACGAGGATGCGGTGATGTGGGTCGTGGGTTTTTGTGGAATAAGCATGGATTTGTGGCCATCTTTTTGAACTTGCACCCACTGCCGTGATCCAAACCATTTGATGCTGCTGCAGTGGCGCACAAGCACGAATTACAACAACAAAAACGCAATACATTAATCAACACTCGCCTTAAAAGCTAAAAATATGCACAATAGGTGACGTTTCAGGCAGTGGGTCATTCATAGCTGATGAGCTACAAAAAGTATTAAGGGCCATTACCCGAAAACGTTGCCTATTGTATACCTTTTTTACTTTTAAGGTCAGTGTTATTGATTAATGTATTGCATTTTTTTGTTATTCGTTCAGGCAGTGGGCCATTCTCTTCATAGTTGACGAGCTAATGAAGAGAAGTGTCATTTCCAGAAACGTTGCCTTATGTATATTCTTCGTTTATTTTTGTAAAGTCCCTGCGGTGTTAGCGACGCACAGTTGATGCGGGCCCCCCCCATGTCCACGAATGTGATGCCGTTGCTGTGCGCATGCCGGCAGTGGGATGACGAGACCGACATGGCCGAGCTGGAGGCAAAGGTGCGATCGGTGTCGATGGACGGGCTGCTTTGGGGTGCCTCCAAGCTGCTGCCCGTCGGCTACGGCATCAAGAAGCTGCAGATCCAGTGCGTGGTGGAGGACGACAAGGTTGGCACGGACATCTTGGAGGAGGAGATCACCAAGTTCGAGGACCACGTATGTAGCTGGACGGGCGGCTTTCCCCTCGTGCACCACGGCTGCAACCGCTCTGGTGGGCGGCTTTCTCCGCGCGCACCATGGCTGCACCCGCTCCGGCCGCCCTACACCATTCCAGTCGAATCTGTCGAACTTATGGAAAATACGGCTGATTGGTGAAAGACTCTTTGTAGTGCAGTTGCAATGCTTTATTAAATAATTCTCGATTTGTTTTTATTCTGCAGGTCCAGAGCGTGGATGTTGCTGCATTTAACAAGATTTAACTCCCACCGCACATCGAGTACTCTTATTAAACGATGATGAATAAAGCTCTCCGAACTTGCTTTGTTGTGGATTTCATTGAATTGAATGCATTCACTAATGGCTACTCGAGCACACGGCGCATATCACAGAATTGCTCAACACTGCCGTGACGGTAGTGTTCACAAAACGCGTGCCAAATAGGTGACACCAAATAATCATGAGGATATAGCAACAAGCTGGGCAGGCAATACGCCTCCATATCTGTCCCACGTAAAAATGTAAATATTTTTTTACATATCCCATCAGCCAATACAGCCTCCTATGAGTACATATTTCAACACTGTTGAATGAACACAAGCAAACTCCAGACCAGTGTCTATTCATTGTCCCATCAGCAGGCCAGGTTTGTATCAATGCTGATTAACTGGCAGATGTTTATGGGCAAGGACCCTCTTTGGGTCCTATTTCGATACAATACTGTATAATAGCCAATTCTACATAAGTGGGCAATGGCTCTTTAGAAATAATTGTAGACCACCGATATACAAAACTGCCAATGTCGTTGAATCTGCAATACGCATTGGCCTTTGTGCTGATGCACTGGATTGGGCAGCGGTGGTGTCGGGGTTGAGTGCCGGAATGAGTGGGCAGGAGTGGTACACCCTGGGCATGTTAAGGTGGTGAATCCTGGACCTCGCGAGATACCGGCGGCAGCGCCGTGCATCAAACCCAGTGGGCACCTCCTGGGTTGTCCAGGTCAACAAAAAGATGGTTGGCAACACCAGCTGTCATCCCCGCTGCGGTATACTGTACTAGATTTGCTTTTGTCGACCAGGCTCTTGCAAAGGCCTCCACCTCGTCACTTGAGTTCTTCTCACTTCCTAGGCGTTTATTGTCAAAGCACGTGCTCGCATCCGATTCACAGGTCTCGAGCAAGACACGTTCATCAAATCAAGTGGCACAAAACATGGGCTGACGGAGGAGGTGTGGGCACCCACGTTTATTTTGTCATCGAAGTGGTGTCATAAGCTTGACTTGGGCGCTGCTGCAGCCGTGTCAGTGAGGGACTTCGCCGTTGGGTACAGAGTTGATACCACTGGGCGAAAAGCAAGGGACTGCCACGCGTGCTCCTCGGTGAGAAAGAGGATGAAGATTTGTGATGGAGCTCCCAGTTGCTTTGGAGCGCCTCACGCAATGAGACGTAAATTAAAGGCGTGATTCTACAACCGGGCTAGAGACGTGAGGTGGAATACAAAACAATCACCCACCAATGTTTACTATGCAATGCATCCTATTTTCTTTGGAGACATTACCAGAGGTGTCACTCTAGGTATGCCAAACACTGTAGAGGTGTCACTAGCGGAGTTACTATGGGTGTCACGAGTTGTCACTCGATGTGTCGCTCACTATATAGAGGTGTTACTGTTTAGATGTGTCACTATGTAGAGGTGTCGCTATGTTTAGGTGTTGCTAGAGGTGTGACTAGAGGTGTCACTATAGACGTGTCATTGTGTAAAGGTGTTATGGTGTAGAGGTGTCAGTGTGTAGAGGTGTCACAAGAGGTGTCACTGTGTAGAAGTATCACTGTAGAGTTGTCACTGTGTAGAGGTGTCACTGTATAGAGGTGTCGATATGTAGAGGTGTCGATATGTAGAGGTGTCAGAGGTATTACTGTGTCGAGGCGTCACTGTAGAGGTGTCACAAGAGGTGTCACTAGATATGTTACTAGAGGTGTCACGAGGTGTCGGTAGAGGTGTCACTGTGTAGAAGTGTCACTGTAGAGTTGTCACTAGAGGTGTCACAAGGTGTCACTAGAGGTGTCACTGTGTAGAGGTGTTACTAGAGGTGTCACTGTAGAGGTGTCACAAGAGGTGTCACTGTAGAAGTGTCACTAGAGGTGTCACAAGGTGTCACTAGAGGTGTCACTGTAGAGGTGTTACTAGAGGTGTCACTGTAGAGGTGTTACGAGATGTCACTGTAGAGGTGTTACGAGATGTCACTGTAGAGGTGTCACTAGAGGTGTCACTAGAGGTGTCACTGTAGAGGTGTAACTGGAGGTGTCACTGTGTAGAGGTGTCACTAGAGGTGTCACTGTGTAAAGGTGTCACTAGATGTGCCACGAAAGGTGTCCCTACGTCACGTGTTAGGTTCCCCGCCCCTTGTCCCTCTGCCCCCGTCTCCTCGCACACGTGACCGCGTCGCGTCCAATGGGAGCGCCTCACGTCACCGGCTCCGGGCGAGGGGAGGCGGCGGCGCGGGGAGGAGAGAGCCGAGGGGAGAGGAGACAGAGAGGAGGAGACGGGGAGAAGACGACGGAGAGAAAGGAGAGACGGGGAAAGGAGAGGAGACAGGCGAGCCGTGAGTGCTGGGAAGGACGGGGTGTGGTGTCGAGTTCCGAGGAGCGCGTGGGTGCGCGCCTCAGCTGTGAGGGGATCCACAGTGACCACCACCCGCACCATCATCAACCCGACATCGGACCCTCGCCGTCACCACAAAGACAAATCACCACCACCATCGTCAAAGTGACATATCGCCGTCATCACCCTATAAACGTAGTATCATCATCACCACCACCACCATGATAACCGTGGGGGCGGCGTGCCCGCGGCGGTCCTGCCTGTGGGGAGTTCACTCAGCGCCGTGGGACCCGCGAGGCGTTAAAGGCGCCACGTCTCATTTTTGTCAACAGGCTGGGTAGGGAGGATTATCACCGTTACGGACGAGGCTGAATCGTACCCTCTGAGGCGCTCACATCTCTAAACAAATCAACTCCTCTCCGGGGACGCTCGACCGCGACCCGCGATGGCCGAGCCGCCACAGCCCCCCACCCCCCAGGTAGCCCCCCATCCACCGCCCAGGTAGCCCCCCATCCACCACCCAGGTAGCCCCCCATCCACCGCCCAGGTAGCCACCGCCCAGGTAGCCCCCCCACCGCCCAAGTTGAGGTCAGAAATGTTTGCAAGGCTCTCCGATTCCGGGTTGTTTTCCCTGATTCCTCACCATTACAGGAGGCGGTGAATTATTGTAACGCCGATCATTGTATTTGTGGGGGCCGGCGTCCCCCACCGCTTTGGCCGGGCAGGTGGGGCGTGATGTCCGCCCCCTCCATGCCCTCCTCCACTCCCTCCTCCACCGCGTCGATCGGCCCCCGCCGGGTTCCCGCCGACCGGGTGCTCGGCCCCCCCGCGTTAGCGCCCCCTCTCAGGGACATCGCTAAATTGCTGGCTCACCGCACCGGGTTACTCCACACGCGTCCGTACACCAACGTTAACACTACAGCGGTGGCGAGCACGCGCACGCCCTTGCCGGCGATCAGACTCTAATATGCGTCCGCACAAAGACTTAGCGTTAAACGGCTGCGCGAATACGCGCGCCGGCGGGTGGTTATTCGCTACCCCGCACCCGCGCTAAGACTCGCTCTAAAGCGGCTGCGCGAACACGCACACTTGAATCACAAACACTGCGCTGAAGCTCTGTGCTAATGTCTTTATTTGCAGGGCAAAAACTCTGCACTGCCTGGAGGAAATATTCTACGAACAGAGCCTATCCTATCACTATCCAATTCCCCAGATACTCACGCGCCCTGTTACGTACCTCGCAGCCATTCTCACGGCGTCGCACGGATGCGGAGAGAGGCGGAGGGACGGAGATGGAGGGAGAACCTTGCTATCGCTGTCTCGTGGCGGCACTCGCTGGCGTCTCATGGACGCTGCGAGCGGCTCGAAGAGGCAGGCTGGCAATGAGTCGATCTGGGTCACCAAGCGGCTGGAGACCAGAACTCCCTTAACCGTTTTCGGCTCCCCTTTTTATGCCCTGTGATGTCGAAAATCTAGGGTTACATTATGTTATCCTGCGCAGCCAATCATGCGCCTATCTTGATCTTCAAACGCTTCTCTGCTCTTACCTGGAGCATTACGCTTAGCAATTTTTCGGCCCATTATCTCTGCGCCCGTATTCATTAACCCCTGACGCAGCCGGTTTAATCTGGGAGGCCGCCCTGCTGGCGAATACACACCCGCGAGTGTGCCCTAGGATTTCCCCCTGACCTCATCGTCTGCGCTGCTCGCTTAATATTTCACCCTGGCCCCTCCCCGGTGCTGTGAGTGACTCATTGCGCCCATACAATTTTAAGCCAATTTAGGGGGGGCCGCAATGTGATTTGTCCTGGAGGATCGGCCAATCTTCTGGCACCGGGAAACCGCGGGACTTCCCACCTAGGGGCCCTTCGGATGAAAACCCGTGGTGCCAGGCGATCCTCCGCTGGGATACTATGTGTATGTGTGCGTGGCGTCTGTGCGTTCAGGGCGGGGTAGGGGGGGAATCGTGGCGCCTCGGAGTGGCTCCGCGGTCGTGGCACCACATATTCCTGTGTTGTGTGGTTGACTGCTTCGTCTGTACAGGACTGAAGCGCTCCATTTAGCTGGGTAGCTCTTGTGTTGTTGCAGTGGATGAGGACCATCGATGAAGAGCATGGAGAATTCAGCAGCAGCTTCAAGGAGCTATTGGCTCTTCAATGCCGCCTAGAGATTGGAACATAACTTAATACAAGTATGTGAGTTAAGCTGAAATGTACAAACCGTGAACTACTAAGCTATAATATACATTTTTAACATTACTCTTTTAACGAACGGCCAAAGCGTGACATCTAATGCAGCTAAACTCGTGCTAAGCGACACGTGGCGTGTGCCATGGAATGTTTTTTTACTCGTCGGCAAAACAGGAAATCGCCCGGTTAATAAGTGCAAGTGAGAACCCTCGATATATATGAAAGTACAAGCTGTTGAGTGATACAAGCTGTCAGTCGAGAAGGTAGCACACCGCCCAGATACTGAACGTCAAAGCGCGCGCGCCTCCCAGCGTCTCTCTGCAGTGAAGAATTCCTGCCGAGTTTCTTCTACAAGAGCTGAAAGTCATGAAGCTGAAGCAGCGCGTGGCTTTGCTGGCCATTCTGCTGGTGGCCTTTATCCTCACGAAGCTTTTCATACTGGAGAGCTCCGATCCCTCTGCCGACTTCCCCTGGGCCAACCCTCAAGACCTGCAAAGCTTCCGCCGCTTTCTGCAGAGAGGGGCGGCTGTGGACATGCACGCCACCCTGCCCAGCCCGCTGCACTCGCCATGGGAGGTACGACTTTCCCGCGGGCCCGCCGAGTCACGTCCACGAGCGATGGATAACGTGTGACCCGGCTTACTCTTGCAATTGAGATTATACGCTGGCCTCTTTGAGTTGTCACTCGTGTCTGGGACGGCATCTACCCATGTGTCGGTAGATGTTGGGGTGCTACTCGGTACGATTTGAAAGAGCGCACTATGATTCTAGTAGCACGTTTACCCCCCACTCGATCATTATTTGCAAGTGTGTTTTGTGGGAGCTCTTTAAAAATGAAGTTCATATTATTGTGCTTGCTGGAGACTGTTCTCTGAATAGAAATATAATTCTCTTGTGCGTGTCTTTGCATTCGAGGTGCATAGTTTTGTATGTGTAGAACTGTATATCTTGTGCTAGCATTTTGTACTCCGGCACTGCATTATCCATGAAACTCTAAATTCAACGCTGGTCTCCTGGCTGACAAATCTATTTAGATTGGAAGTTTTCGTGACTGCAGGGATCCATACTCTTTGGTTTTTTCGGTAAGTCATGTAGGTATAAAATAAAATAAATTTAATCATGACGTTTCGGGCGCAATACAAGCGTCCGTCATCAGGTGGGACAACCACAGCAAAAAACAATTGCTGAAGTGGGCAAAAGGCTGCTGTAACAAGAGGCTATATAGGTAAGAGAGGGGGGAGAGGCAAGGGGGGAGAGATAGAGAGGGGGTGTGGAGTAGGGGGAGGGGAGTGCTGTGAGAACGTTTAGAGGACGAGCAGACAAAAGAGGGATTGATCTTGTTTAAAGCCAGTCTATCACTAATCTCAGAGAGAATAAGATTGCTCCGATTTGAACTTGATAATTTAGACAAGACTCTCTTACAATCACACTTAATATTAACAGATAAAATGTCCACTTCTGATTGGGACCATGTAGATAGCATAACAGTCTCCTCTGCTAATTTAATGTCAACCAAATATAAAGTTAACTTGATCGCTAAATTCAACCTCCTGTCAAAAAAGAAGCCAGATCCACACATTATGAGAGCCCACAGCATTATAGCAATGGTCAGCCACGGCGTGGGCTCTCATGATATTGTTTTTTCTGAGACCAAGGTACTCTGCAAACCTTCGGGTTACTATCAAAGGTTTGTTCATGAAGCCATCCAGATATATAAACATAGACATAGCTTCAACCGAGAAGATGGATATAAATTGAGCAATCATTGGAAGGATGTTATTAACCAGGTAAAACCTTAACTGTTTTATGGTGTTGCCTTCATTTTCACATCTCCAGCTTCTTCAGCCTCCCACTCCCAGCCCCGCTCACTTTCCCCCCCCCCCCCCCCCCCCCCAGCATTTTTCCATGCTCGCCCTTTAATCCCTCTTTTGGCTGCTCGTCCTCTTAACGTTCTCGCAGCACTCCCCTCCCCGGACCCACCCCCCTCTCTATCACTCCCCCGTTGCTCCTCCCCCCTCTCTTACATATATAGCCTCTTGTTACAGCAGCCTTTTGCCCACTTCATCAGTTGTTTCTTACTGTGGTTGTCCCACCTGATGACGGACGCTTGTGTTGCGCCCGAAACGTCGTGATTTATTTTATTTTATACCTACGTGACTTTACCGAAAGAACCAAAGAGTATGACAAATCTATTCTTTGGTGTTTTTTTTTTATCTAAGTGGTATTTTCTTGTCTTTTGGTACTGCATTTGTGCACTGTTGCATCTTTTGTGCTGTCATACTGTACTCTCTTGGCCTGTATCCTATTTGTCTTGCATCTAATTTTGTCTTTCGTTCGTCCACTCTGTATTAATTCCACATCAGCATCCGTTCTCTGTCCCATAATCCAGTAGTGGTGGTGTATCCTAGGTTTAACAACACACACGTTGTGCAGCATTGCATGTAAAAAAGCTGTCGGCCTTTTCCAGACCACCAGCTTAGAAGAACTGATTGTGTGGCCATGTTGTCGTTTAGGCCACCAACTCAAGGATTTGAGATTGTGGCCAACCCACTAGGCAGCAGTGAAACAGAGACACAACTGTTAGACGAGGACTCATCAGTACAGCCCATCATTGGTTGCTGCTGCCATGCTCCTTTTGACCCTCATATAATGGAGAGAACCTTTACCTTCACACTTTGGGCACCCCATTTACACTTTCCTGAAGGCAACACGAATTCTAAGCGTGTTGCAACGATGGGGTTTTTGTGTCATAACTTACAGATTCGAGTTGGTGGTGTGTCCTTGTTTTGCAGGTGGCCTCACAATGGGTGCTTCCCAGGGAAGTCTATCCAGAGCTGGTTCCAGAGTTGGGAGCCGTACTTCGTGCCATGTCGACGCAGCGCATCGTGAAAGCCGACATCGGCTATAGGGGAACGCAGCTGAAGGCTTTGTTTTTGCTTGAGGGAGGGCAGAAGGTGGTCTTTAAACCCAAGCGGTAAGCCTGCTTACATGCTGGAAGTTTTAGACTTTTATCAGTCGTGTCAATAACTTTGTATCGGCCACTCTGGTTATTACAGCGGTTTAACCGTAAAAAAACGCACCACAGTTGATGTTAAAGATCGTATGGCGCTACTTACAAGAGTAGGACCATTGTGTGCTGGTGTCATTGTTCAAATTTGACGAATTGCCCGCATATTACACTGAGACCTCCTTTGCAAGTAGCAAGATATAGTAATAGGTTTTTACCCTTTTATCTGGCACCAAAACTGACACCTTTATACAAGGGATCATGTTTGTAATAACCACAACACAAGCAGTCAAAAAATGCAAACAAAAAGAGACAACTCTGATAATGATATGCACTGTCCTTGAAATTGATTGGTCCACACCCGAGACGGCTTTTCTTAGAGCCTAGTCTCCACTGGTGTTGGACCAGATGATGCCAAAAGGCATACAACTCAAAAACAGCGCACTGTCAGAGTATTGAGAGCTCGGGGTAAGCATTTACACTATGAGACCTCCTTTGCCAGTAGCAAGATATAGTAATAGGTTTTTACCCTTTTATCTGGCACCAAAACTGACACCTTTATACAAGGGATCATGTTTGCGATAACCACAACACAAGCAGTCAAAATGCAAACAAAAAGAGACAACTCTGCGAATGATATGCACTGTCCTTGATGACGCCTTTTGGCGTCTTCTGGTCAAACACCAGTGGAGACTAGGCTCTAAGAAAAGCTGTCTCGGGTGTGGACCAATCAATTTCAAGGACAGTGCATATCATTGTCAGAGTTGTCTCTTTTTGTTTGCATTTTGACTGCTTGTGTTGTGGTTATTGCAAACATGATCCCTTGTATAAAGGTGTCAGTTTTGGTGCCAGATAAAAGGGTAAAAACCTATTACTATATCTTGCTACTGACAAAGGAGGTCTCATAATGTAAATGCTTACCCCGAGCTTTCAATACTCTGACAGTGCGCTGTTTTTGAGTTGTACGCCTTTTGGCGTCATTTGGTCCAATACCAGTCGAGACTAGGCTCTAAGAAAAGCCGTCTCGGGTGTGGACCAATCAATTTCAAGGACAGCGCATATCATTATCAAAGTTGTCTCTTTTTGTTTGCATTTTGACTGCTTGTGTTGTGGTTATTGCAAACATGATCCCTTGTATAAAGGTGTCAGTTTTGGTGCCAGATAAAAGGGTGAAAACCTATTACTGCTATGCCTGCATATTACTCAATTTAGGATCATACATCACTACCTACTGCAAAAACTTGACATGATCCTCCTGAAAAGGAGACTTGTTTAGGTTATCCTGGGCAAACAGGCGGAGTGATGAAGCTGCTTTGCGTCATCTGAATTGTCACATTAAACACCTTCTCCCTCGCCACATTAAATGTCCCACGGACCAAGATATCAAGATGTTTTGTGGTGTCCGGCCCATCTACTCACCCATCTGCTCTTCCACTGACCTACCTGCGCATGTTCTTAGTATCTGTCCCCTCTTCTCACCTATCTACTCATCCACCCGCTCACATTCACGGTTTTCTAGCACATCTACGAAGAACCCACTGCCGGCCACTCTGCAATTAGTCTCGAACTCTCTCCCAGTTCCTGTAGTCGCGAAAAAGTTTAGTAAAGATTACAAAGCGTAAGCAAAGCGCCTTCCGTCGCGAGAGCAATTGTACTATGAGAAGGACTTGAATAACGAATATAATGTTCTCTGTTTGTTTTAGGTACAGCCGGGACTATATTGTGGAAGGAGAACCGTATGCAGGCTATGACCGGCACAACGCTGAAGTGGCAGCGTTTCACCTGGACAGGCAAGCATGTTACACATGCAGACACATCAGCACAAATACACATAATTACGCCTACAGTTTACAGACCGCAATCAGCGGTGAAAGTTCCACATTCCTTTGGCGGGCACAAGTCTAAAAATAGGACAACCACTCTTTACTTCCTCATAAAGTGGTGTTTATTTTATTAACCCCAGAGTGATGATGGGCTGAGTCAACTCCCAAACCAGGATTTGAACTCGCAACCTTTCTAATGCAAGCCGCGCGCTCTACCACTGAGCTGACCTGGTCGGTTCTGAGATTGACCAGATTTTTTCGTAACACATTTTAACATCTTGTAGAGTTTCTGTGCGTACACGACAGAGGTTAAACGTATACACACATTGCGTCAGCGGAGTGGATGGAGCGAGGACACAAGACCCGAGCCAGGGTGAACGCGCCTGGAAGTCGTTGGCTTTGCTAATTTTTTTGCGCGCACGCAGGATCTTAGGGTTCCGCCGTGCGCCACTCGTCGTGGGCCGCCACGTGAACCTGCACTCCGAGCTGAGGGCCGTGGCCACCGAGCAGCTGCTCGCCACCTTCCTGGCGCAAGGTGACCCGCGGACGAGCTGGGGGAGGGCCCGCATTCTCGTCGTGACGGGGGAATCGTTTGTGTCGATGACTTAACAGTAAAACAACCTGGGAACAATTAAAAACAAACCCGGTAGAGTTATATGGTATTGCTTGAGGGGCAGTGGTGGAAATGGGCCGGTAGAGGATGGATCTCCGGCATGGCATCTCTCCGGACACCGCACGTGGGCATGATCTGCCTGAGCCGACTTGGTGACAGGGAATTTTAAATCTAACGTTGATTCATGTTTTTTTCTATTTCTCCTGTGGCTACGCAGTTGCTTTTGTGCTATTTATGTTTGTTTCATGTTTTATATTTTTTATTCCTTGTTTTCGTTTTTTTCATGTTAGTGACCCCGGTCACTCTCGCAAACACGTCTATCCAAGTCACTCTTGAATTCCTACCTGGTTAACCAAATAAACTTGACTTGGTCCCTATCTGTATGCTACGGTGTTTCCACATGAAGGACACAGCAGTGAACGTGAACTGCAGGGCGAATGGGTTTTTATAGCGGGAAAAGTCCCACATTCACATTGCAATCCAACCTGACCTGACCTATTCTAGAAGGATGACATTTATTCTGAAGTGCGGCTATCACACCTAAAATTAACATTCTGTCTCGTGCTGCCATTCCAGGAAACAACACGTGCTTCTACGGGAAGTGCTATTACTGCCGCGAGTCGGAGCCGGCGTGTGCTGATGGTGAGCTGATGGAAGGCTCGGTGACATTGTGGCTGCCCGAGTCCTGGCCCCTGCAGAAGCACCGCCACCCGTGGGGGCGCACCTACCGGGAAGGCAAACTGGCCAGGTGACCAAACAACGAGCTTTACCCTTCTTCTCTTGTATGGCATCAGATAAAAGCCAGCGACCGGCACTACAATTGTATGTTCAATTACTCTTTGGTTTTTTTGGTAAAGTCACGTAGAAATAAGAAATAATAAGAAAATAAAATTACATAATAGCATACGACGTTTCGATTGCAACGCAAGCAATCATCATCAGGTATAGAAGAGCTAAATTTAAGAGAGAGAGGAAACACAGAGAGATGCAGAAGCACATCAAATTGAACAAGATTTAGTAAAATTTGGAAACAATATAATGCAGCACAGAGGGTCGGTCAAAACACAATTAACGCATGGTCTGGCTGATTACGTTATTTCAAAGATTGCTAAATTATAGGTTAAGAGTGATAGAGTACAGATCACAGACACATATACAGACATCCAAGCAGAGAGAGCCAGCACAGAGACACAGAGAGAGACACACACATGGGACAGAGTGAAACAATGCTTCTGTGTCGAAGCCTTAAATAGAGGGGGAAATAACGTAATCAGCCAGACCATGCGTTAATTGTGTTTTGACCGACCCTCTGTGCTGCATTATATAGTTTCCAAATTTTACTAAATCTTGTTCAATTTGATGTGCTTCTCCATCTCTCTGTGTTTCCTCTCTCTCTTAAATTTAGCTCTTCTATACCTGATGATGATTGCTTGCGTTGCAATCGAAACGTCGTATGCGATTATGTAATTTTATTTTATTATTATTTCTTATTTCTACGTGACTTTACCGAAAAAACCAAAGAGTAATTCCTGCAGTCACGAAAGCACCAAATCAAGTTGTATGTTCAATGTTTTAAGACATTCAGATTTTTCCACCAGAACACACGCGTTGTTATTGGGCAGTCATTGTTTTATGCACGGCTGATGGTTTGCACCTCGCCGCATTCGCAGCTGGGTGAATCCTTGGTCATTCAATTAATGGAGGAAATATCCCCACACGTCGTTCCTCTACGTGGTGTTGTTGTTGGGATGCGGTTGAGAGCGGTGCCCACTGCCATCGGGACAGCAGAGAGAGACACAGGCTGTTCCTTCATTGAGTCTTCATGCGGGTTCTTGTTTGGGACGCCACTCCCCATGCCCGGCGTTGCTTTGTCGATGAGCCCCACATGAGGGCTGCTGCGCTGGTGGTCGCCGCTGTCGAACGTTTAGGTGGGAGTACGACAACAACTACTGCGAGGCGGTGAAGAAGACGCCCCCGTACGACACGGGCCCTCGGCTCCTGGATGTGGTGGACACCGCCATCTTCGACTTCCTCATGGGGAACGCGGACAGGCACCACTATGAGAGCTTCCAGGATGATGGCGGTGCCAGCATGGTCATCTTACTGGACAATGCCAAGAGGTAGTCTCGATGCTCCGGCACACGCCACACGTTGGTTTCTTGTGTCCGCTAAGCATGTCTAGTTAATATCGCAAAAAATATATTAATTATGAGTAATGCATGTTTCTAAATATGGAGGAAAAAACCGGAGGAACCAGAGCAAAATCCACGCGACGCCGGGGAAAGAACATGCAAACTCCAAATATAGAGCAGACATCAGGGACAGGATTGAATCCACGGCCTCCTGTATACCAGGAGAGGTAGTCAACATCTCGCCAATGTGGCGCCCAAGGAACTAAATAAATAAGCAGACATTAAGCCTTATGGAAAGGAAGCATATTGCCTCCATGTATATTGTCATGTGATCTCCACAATGACACTGATGATAATCTGGATTTGAAGCTTTCATGATTGCAGGAATCCATACTCTTTGCTTATTTCGGTAAAGTCACATAGGTAGAAAAAAAATAGATCACGACGTTTCGATCGCAACACAAGCGACCATCATCAGGTGAGACAATCACAGCAGGGAAACTGCTGAAACAGTTTCACAGCAGTAATCACATCAGTTTCCCTTCTGTGATTGTCTCACCTGATGACGGTCGCTTGTGTTGCGATCGAAACGTCGTGATCTTTTATTGTGTTCTACCTACGTGACTATACCGAAAGAACCAAAGAGTATGGACACTGATGATAATTTCGTGTTTGTGTGTTATACAGTATCGCGTCAAACTAAAAACCATATCTAACAGTGGGTCCTTGCCAATAAACATATGGCACTTCAACAGCATTGGTTTAAGCCGGCCTGACTGCTGATGAGACACGAAATATCAAAACCTATCCAGTGTTTCCTGCAGTAAATCATTGCTGCTAATGAGATGCACTCCGAGAAGGGGGCTGTGTGGAAACCAGCATGGGAAGCAAGTGGTGTTGCCTGCTTATTCACATTATTAATTCATATCAGCTCAGTGGTTGGCAACTTGATTGTCCGAATGTGTGTGTTGAGTACATTGCTGAAGGTATATTTGGCAATCTTTTTTTAGATAATATTTCAACTGAAAATCAAAACTGTCAATTCAAACTTAAAACTGTGAACTAAAATGTCCTGCTTTCTGGTTTTGGTTTTCACATTTACAGTTTTGGAAACCCTGATCTTGATGAAAGAAGTATTCTTGCCCCGCTTTATCAATGTTGCATGTAAGTATGTATCATAATTTTCTTTGGGTCATTTGGTAAAAGTCACGAAGATAGAAAATATAATAAAATCAAAATCACGACGTTTCGATTGCAACACAAGCAATTGTCTTCAGGTCTTTTTGCTTGTTTTGTGATTGAAACGTCGTGATTTTGATTTTATTATTTTTCTATCTACTTGGCTTTACCGAAAGACCCAAAGAATATGAATTCCTGCAGTCACGAAAGCTTTAAGTCAAGATTTATGTATCATAAACTTAACAAAAACTTATATTTGTTTATTTTGTGCAGATATAACATCATTACTATAAGTAGTCCCTCGGTTAATCCGTTCGACAAAAACTACTTTTAACCAAAATAACTGTTAATCGAATATAGGAATTACATTTCTGTCAAAACAGGAAGCATAATATGAACCTTAAGGTGGTACTGCGGAGTACCATAGTACCCCGGCTCTCACATAATGTCCGTGATGCAGTCATTTTTAGCCTGTTGATGGTCGGCGATGCGGCAATCGACTCATCTTGACAATGCGTTTCGACATCGCGGAGTAGCACTGATTTCGGATTGATTGGTACCCCAGTCGCGGAGTTATGTACACCCCTGGAAAAAATAGTATTGCTTGTGTTGCAATCGAAACGTCATGATATTTTTATTATTTTTCTATCTACGTGGCTTTACCGAAAGACCCAAAGAATATGAATGTCTGCAATCATGAAAGCTTTAAGTCAAGATTTATCCGCCTCTACGCGGAGGGTTTTCACTCAACTATTAGATCTTTAAACAAACTTCGAGACAAGAAGGTTCATCTGATCGAGTCACTCACTTTTCTGAAGAGATGCTGCGACACTAAGGTAACACCGATCGCCTTCACACTGACATCTGCTGCTGTCACTTATCCTAATGCTAAACGGATCTTGTTCAGGCCGGGCCTAGCCCTGATCTCAGAAAGAATACGATTGCTCCGATTTGAACTAGATAATTTAGGCAAGACTCTCTTGCAGTCACACCTAACATTGACAGAAAAAATGTCTACATCTGATTGGGAACATGTAGATAACATGACTGCCTCGTCAGCCGCCTCAATGTCAGCTACATGCAAAGATAACCTGATTTCCTAGTTCAACCTTCTGTCCAAGAAGAAGCCAGATCCACACATTAAAAAGTTAGACGGTGACAATATTGTTATCAAGAGTAACAGCGCAATTTTCGACAGCCTAAAATTGATTCTAGCTAAAGTATTGAATTTTGCAGTCACCCCTAAACACATCCCTGTTGATGATATCTTGCCCAGGTCGATATAGCCCTTAAGGGTTTGGGACACATTCCTTCAGACGTGGCAAGAAAAAAAATCGCTGCAATCCTCAAAAACGCTAAGACACCTATTAGCAACATCAGTAAGGGTGAGCGCTTTGAGCTTTCTCAACTAAAAAAAAGAGATGAATAGTCATCCTCTCAGCCGACAAGGGCAATGCCACTGTCATCATGGACAAAACCACATACAACAACAAAATTCAGGACCTACTTAATGATGGTAGCTTTCCCAAAATCAATTAAGATCTCACCAACCGCCTGGTTACGAAAACCAACAATATCATCACAGATTCGACATCTTTTATCGAACCAACCAAGCGGCTTTCCTTAAAACCCTCTACTGCTAGACTACCCAGATTTTATGGCTTACCAAAAATCCATAAAGAAGGTACACCACTTTGGCCTATCATCTCCACCATTGACTCACCCACCTACGGACTGGCCCGATTTCTGTCTGAGACCTTACAACCATTCACTGGTAAGACCACCTCAGCTGTACTTAACTCAGCTCACTTGGTATCCTTAATTAAGGACATCTCACTATCTCCAGGTGATTTGCCTGTCAGTTTTGATGTATATTTGTTTACCAAAGTTTCTGTTCCTGACACCATTGGAATCATGGAAGATTTGGTACAACAAGGACTGAATGCTGATGTACCGGCCCTGGTTAGACACTGCCTCACCAACACTTACTTCACCTGGAATGGAACATTCTACAATCAAGTTGAAGGTACCCCAATGGGTTCTCCCTTATCTCCAGTTGTAACCAATGTTTTCATGGAAAAATTTGAGACAGATGCCATCCAGGCATCCACCCTACGTCCTTTTGGAAGAGGTACGCAGATGATATGTTCCATATACCCAGCCATCAAATTTACTACAGAGGTGGAAAAGATGGCAAGTTACCATTCTTGGATGTTTTAATTGAAAGAGACCAGATGGCTCAATGGGACACTCTGTCTACAGGAAAGCCACCCATACGGATGCCTCCCTAAAACCTGACTCCCACCACCATCCATCCCAGAATAATTCCCTCATCAAAACTCTACACCATAGAGCTCGATGTATTTCTGACCATCACCACCTAGCCAGTGAACTGGAACACGTACACCAAGCTCTCAATATGAATGGATATTCAGACTACACAATCTGTAAAGCTATCACCCCAACCGTTGGGAAATAACCATCTGAGGAACCAATCAAAACCATCACCTTGCCATACATAGCAGGGGTCACCAAAATATTTCCAAAATCATGAGCAAACACAAGATCCAGGTTCGATTCAACACAGTCCATAAAATTCGTGATCTGATTACATCTGTGAAGGATGTGATCCCTGACATGCAATACCCCGGCGTCTACAAACTAAGCTGCGTCTGCGTCAGTAGTTACATTGAGGAAACTAAGTGACATGTCTCGGTCCGTGTTTATGAACATGAGGCAGATCTGAAACACGGTAGGACCAATACCTCAGCCGTGGCTGATCATTGTTTTAATGCTGTGGGCACACACAATTGATTTTTCCAAAACGAAGATACTCTGCAAACCCACTGGCTATCAGCAAAGATTCGTCCATGAAGCCATCCAGATATATAAACACAGACACAATTTCAACCGAGAAGATGGGTACAAACTGAGAAGGACGTTATTAACCAGGTTAAGTCATAACTGGCTGTGATGTTTAGTAGTTATTTTTGACTCTCTAGTGTTACATTAACAGGTTAAATGTATTTTACATTAATAGGTTAAATGTCTCACTAACACAGCCATTGTTGCTTATTTTCCTTGATGTGGTGGTGGCTCTACGATTACATTGACATGCTATCTCTCATAATACAATGGCCACCTCCGCAGCTTCGTCATCGTGGAGGTAGCTCAGCTCTCCGATCTTACATTTACTTGCAAATTTCATCACTAGCCCCGCCCACTTCGCTTATACACAATACAATGGCCACCTCCGCAGCTTCGTCGCCGTGGAGGTAGCTCAGCTCTCCGATCTTACATTTACATGCAAATGTATTCACTAGCCCCCCTACTTCGCTTATGACCCTTGCGCTATACCCATCTCAAAGCTTTATAACATCCTGCCTCAGCAGCTCTCTCGCTATTTTTTCACCTGATGACGATTGCTTGTGTTGCGATCGAAACATCGTGATATTTTTTTTATTTTTTCTATGTACGTGGCTTTACCGAAAGACCCAAAGAATATGAATTTAGAATGTTCCAAAATATATTATTTTAATCAGAACGATTTTAATTTAGACAGCAGCTAATTACCATCAGCATCTGTAGGCGCTGTTGTTGGAGTTGTCCCAACATTACTGGTATTTTATTTGGCTCAGGGAATGTGGTAGTTTCATGCCTAAATTCTCATTGTTAACCCTTGACCACCCAACGTCGATGAGGTTCTGAATGGTGAAGCCACCTGCTGTGACTGGTGGCTACAGACGTCCCGTCACTGAACTCAACATCAACGCACCGCGATATTTTGGTCGTTTCAACAGAAAAATACTAGAAAGTCGTTTGTATTTTCCGTAAACTTGATGGAGGAATATCCCCGTGATCTCCTTGGCCGGCAACACGGCCTGGCCATAGCGCATTCGCCGCTGGTTGTTGCACCGATATGCAGTTTGAATCCGGCAGGCCGTCCTGGTAAACAATTCGGGTGTATTAACCGTAAAATATGTGCCATCTGCTTGAAAGTGGACATTTAAAGACTGTGCAACGTCATTCGAAAAATGTGCAGTTACTGACAAATCACTTGATTGGGATTCCACATCGAAATCGCCCCCTACTGGCAGTCTGAGGCCTGTGCCTAGTGACTTTGTGCTGCACACACACAGGACAACTGCCACCGGGGGTGATATACAGCACTTTGAGTTGCCGAGGCAGCTAAGCGAGGCTATGTAAGAGCCTATTTTCTAATTATTCCGTTTGTTCGGCGCTCGCTAGAGTGCGGCTGTCGACGTGGAACCGGCTGAACCTGCTGAGAAAGGGCCTGCTGGGAACCCTCATGGCAAAGGTGCTGGCCGAGGACCCCATTGCCCCCGTGCTGCACGAGGCCCACCTGCACGCCATGGATCGCCGGCTGCTGCTGGTGCTGGAGACTGTGCAGCAGTGCATGGACTCAGGGAACTCCGATGCCGTGCTGCTGGAAGACCGCATGTTGTTCTCGCAGTAGCGCCCCACCGCCCGCCTGCTCGCTGCGACATGCATATGTGGTGCGACCGCGATCCGGGAGTGACGGCCGACGAGTGATGCGGACTCGCATCTCAACTCGAGTGTAAGGTTTTGGGGCAAACGTCTAACTTGAACACCGCCAGCCGATATCAGGGGACGCTTGTTGAATGATCGCATGTGACAAGATACGTTTATTGATAATTGCGTGTGTTCCAGTGAAAAAAACACGCAAGTGGCTTTGTTGCATCTACAAAGGGGAATGGCATTATTGAAAACTCTGCTTTAAGGTTGAAGAGGACCATAGATTGTACTGACGACAATCTTTTTGTGTAACCATTCCCACAACGTTAATACAATAACGTCGAGATTTCTAGCAGAAGTGCATATGTAATGGAGCTAGCTGACATCCACCATTTAAACAGAAGTTCAAGTTCACAAGGTCATGGAATGCTCAGATTTAAACCATGTTTTGAAAAAGTAGACACGAGGTAATAAAACGCAGTAGATATTAATTCCACCTTTGAGGATGCAGGAGAATAGCTCGCTGCCAGTATTAAAATCATCATGGGCTGCTCAAGGCAGCTTGTCCCGCCCCATAAAAAGGATTACACACGTGGGAGCTTTATGTATAAACCAGGTGTAAAAATCTTTCAGATATTTAAACGTCTTTATTTAACAAGAACTCCGTTACAAAACTGTGCACGACTGATATTCCCCCACTTTCGTACACACTCGCGTTTAAAAACAGGAAGTAGTTAACCATTTCCTCGATACAAATTCGAATTTATCTGTATTGTGATGTGCCTTCTATGGTAAATACAGTACCTAAAATGATCAATCGGAATGTGAACAAGTGTGACTCACACCACTTACGCCGAGGTATTTGTTCGTATGGCAAGATTTTATCTTGGCACCTTGGAAAGATGTTATGATTAACATTGCCCTTTGTTTACCCAGGAACGACTGAGTGAGCCAGTTTTTAAGACTCAGGAAGTTCCTTATTTGGCATATGGGAGGAAGACAAATTATCTGGAGTAAACCCACACATACGAGGGGATAAAACTCAAAGCTTCACACAGATGGATTCAGTCTACTTGATGTACTGCTATCTCCTGGCCACCTCGCAGCCCAGTAGCCTTGGGGAGCCTGGCAAATTTTGTGTGATCCACTCCTGCCTCCCCTCCAAAATGCCGGATTTCAAGCTCGCACTATCGCATCCGGCTAGTTTGTAATTGATTGTGCTTGTAATAAGAGAGACAGCACCTATTGCATTCTCTGGTTAAATAATTGAAACCACAAAATCATCACTACAACGACAGGAAATTTGAGTTGGCCTGTAAAGGGAATTAAGTGCCCTGCTTAATTCCACTTTGGTGGAAGTGTACGTATAATGCTGTATGGATTATGCTTTATTTATAATGCTCTACATTAATTTCTCGCCAATCGCGGGGGTTAGGTTCTTAAAAATCCCCATGGTTGATAAAACCGTGGTTGACAAGGCTAAAGGCTTATGGAAAATAGAGGGTTACGTTCCGCGGCCACGGTTAACACTCATCGAAGCCTAACTATGCATCCGATGCATTCAGTCAACGTGGAAAATATATATTATACTGTATGAACAAAATAACTTTAATAATAGTGAACAAAAATACTTTTAATTACCTTTAATATTGATACTGTAGTGAAGTCCAGATATCAACGACAATGACGATGATGATGTTAGTGGAGGAGGGGGTTATAGGGATGCGGGACTGTTCCCCTCCTCAGAACTTGTTTATATAAAGACAAACCACTTGCCTTGCCCTCTTCACATTACGCTTCACCGCTTCACCTTCACCAGCTCGACACTTAGGGGCCATGATTAAGGTAAAAAAAATAGTGGCATTGACAGTAAGTATGGTAGACTTTCATGAAGCATAAATGACAGCACTGCTACGCTTGAAGATACTGCTGCACAACACTGAACGAGGCAGGCAAGCACTGTATGCGGGCAAAAGTGGTGGGTACACGCGCTTTACGTGCCACTGGTGGTGGATTGCTTGAATACGGCTGGAGATTTGAAATTGTGGGTAGCGGAAAACCAAACCGTGGTTAAGCAAAACTGTATACTGTGGTTGGCAAAACAGTATACGGAATATGTGTGGATACTCGAAATCGCGGTTGGCAAAACCGTTGTCAAGGGATTGCTGTACCTATAACGCTTTACCGTCGTAATTTGTCCATCAAAACATGGGTAGTCTGAGTGCCACAGATCTTGTGCCATAGCTTGCCAATACATGGTGAGGACTTTTTAACAACGTACAAAGTCGATTACGTAATGCACTTTATGCTTTGAAGTGCAGAGTTTATTTTTGCCGATGCTGCAAAATGATTGCAGTGTCACATACGGTACTCGTGTACTTGTTGAAGTGTAGATATCTAGGGAATGCAAATGCATGTTTAAATACTGTACATATTCCAGCTAGGTTTTGTGCCATTCAGAGTTTTTTTCTGCGTTGGAATCGCGTTTTACTTCTTACAGTGTGGTTCGAGTAAATTTCAGATTTCCGTTGGAACTTTTTTGTATGGGAAAAAAAATATCTGATTGGGTATCTTTCAATTGTGCCGATGAGCAGTGTATTTGGAGCGTTTTTTTCCATGGTGGTATTTTTTAATTGACGGCTGTATATTGCATTAGACGATTTAAAACACGTTGCTCGAACAAGGTCAAAACAGCATATGTGAATATGCAAGAGCTCACGGGAATGCACTGTATTCACATGTAGATGTAATAATTTTTCGTACTCTTTGGTTCTATTGGGTAAAGTCACGTAGGTGAAAATATAATAACAAAAAATCACGACGTTTCGGCCACAACACAAGCGGCCTTCATCAGGTGAAGGGACGAGACTGTCTGGAGGATAGCGCTGGAGTGAGAAAAGCCACGCTTAGATCATGACCTTTAAGCTGTGTGAGAAGAAAACAAAGCGCCTTGACAAAGGAATTAGCATATAATTTAGCATTGAAATAGCTAAGTTAAAGTATACACATCCGCAGAGGTACCCCTTGACAAAGGAATTAGCATAGAAGTTAGCATTGAAATAGCTGAGTGATTGACATAGCTATTTCTGTGACCAGTTACAAGCTAAAGTCAGAGCATATACATTCACCGAGGCACCTAGTACTCATCAAACAGGAGAATTTAGCGAAACACAACCACGCTCAGACAGCGGACCTTTAAACTGTGTGCGAGCAAACAAGGTGTTCTGACAAAGAAATTAGCATAAAAAATAGCATTTGATTGGCCGATTTTGGAAAAGAGGTGGTGTACTTGCCGGTGGACTTGCCGTTTGGCGCGGGGGGGGGGGGGGGGGAGAAGGGGGGGAGGGGGAGTTTACCTATTGATGGTGTGAAAAGGGAATTTTTTAAGAGCTGCGAAAGTTTGGGGTACCACTACTTGAAGAAATATACTGTACCATTGAAATTAGTTTAATGTTTAGTTCGATTTAGAACATCTTTCCAATGGTTGCTTAATTTGAAACCATCCTCTCGGTTGAAATTGTGTCTGTGTTTGTAGATCTGAATTGCTTCATGAACAAATCTCTGATAAAAGCCCGTGGGTTTGCAAAGAACCTTGGTATCGGAGAAAATTATATCGTGATCCCCCACAGCGTTGTAACAGTGATCAGCCACGGCAGAAGAATTCGTTTTGCCGTGTTTCAAATCTGATTTGTGCTCGCGAATTCGGTCAGAGACATGTCGCTTTGTCTCCCCGATATAGCAATCACCGCAGGTACAACTCAATTTGTAAACCCCGGGGTACTGTAAGTCAGGAATGACATCCTTCATGGATGGGATCAGATCACGAATTTTGTGTACTGTATTGAACCAGACCTGGATCTTGTGTTTGTTTAGAATTTTGGAAATCTTTTTAGTAACGCCTGCTATATATGGAAGTGTGATGGTTTTGACCGGAGTATCAAGGGGTTGTTTCTGTATGGAGGGAGAAACAGCTTGGCGGATGGTACGGTCAGAGTAACCATTCCTTTTGAGGGCCAGGTGTACATGTTTTAATTCACTGGTCACTCATTGCATTTCGGACCAACACAACCTGACCAGTGAATTAAAACATGTAAACCTGGCCCTCAAAAGGAATGGTTACTCTGACCGTACCATCCGCCAAGCTGTTTCTCCCTCCATACAGAAACAACCACTTGATACTCCGGTCAAAACCATCACACTTCAATATATAGCAGGCGTTACTAAAAAGATTTCCAAAATTCTAAACAAACACAAGATCCAGGTCTGGTTCAATACAGTACACAAAATTCGTGATCTGATCCCATCCGTGAAGGATGTCATTCCTGACTTACAGTACCCCGGGGTTTACAAATTGAGTTGTACCTGCGGTGATTGCTATATCGGGGAGACAAAGCGACATGTCTCTGACCGAATTCGCGAGCACAAATCAGATTTGAAACACGGCAAAACAAATTCTTCTGCCGTGGCTGATCACTGTTACAACGCCGTGGGGGATCACGATATAATTTTCTCCGATACCAAGGTTCTTTGCAAACCCACGGGCTTTTATCAGAGATTTGTTCATGAAGCAATTCAGATCTACAAACACAGACACAATTTCAACTGAGAGGATGGTTTCAAATTAAGCAACCATTGGAAAGATGTTCTAAATCGAACTAAACATTAAACTAATTTCAATGGTACAGTATATTTTTTCAAGTAGTGGTACCCCAAACTTTCGCAGCTCTTATAAATTCCCTTTTCACACCATCAATAGGTAAACTCCCCCTCACCCCCTTCTCCCCCCCCCCCCCGCGCCAAACGGCAAGTCCACTGGCACGTACACCACCTCTTTTCTAAAATCGGCCAATCAAATGCTATTTTTTATGCTAATTTCTTTGTCAGAACACCTTGTTTGCTCGCACACAGTTTAAAGGTCCGCTGTCTGAGCGTGGTTGTGTTTCGCTAAATTCTCCTGTTTGATGAGTACTAGGTGCCTCGGTGAATGTATATGCTCTGACTTTAACATAGCTATTTCTGTGACCAGTTACAAGCTAATCACTCAGCTATTTCAATGCTAAATTCTATGCTAATTCCATTGTCAAGGGGTACCTCTGCGGATGTGTATACTTTAACTTAGCTATTTCAATGAGCCATTTCAATGCTAAATTATATGCTAATTCCTTTGTCAAGGCGCTTTGTTTTCTTCTCACACAGCTTAAAGGTCGTGATCTAAGCGTGGCTTTTCTCACTCCAGCGCTGTCCTCCAGACAGTCTCGCCCCTTCACCTGATGAAGGCCGCTTGTGTTGTGGCCGAAACGTCGTGATTTTTTGTTATTTTATTTTCACCTACGTGACTTTACCCAATAGAACCAAAGAGTATGGATCCTAGCAGTCACGAAAGCTTTAAATCTAGAATAAATAATTTTTTGGTTTCTGAAAAAGTTTTAACTATGTTGATTTGAAGTTTTCGTGACTGCAGGAATCCATACGCTTTGCTTCTTTCGGTAAAGTCACGTAGGTAGAAAAATAGAGGCCGACCGAAATTCGGTTTCGGCACCGAAAGTTGGCAATTTTTAACTTTCGGTTTGGTTTCGTTTTCGGCCGAAACCGATATTGACTTTCGGTCGTCAACCGAAGATTTATTTTTAGAATATAACGCTAGTGCTACGACTATCAGCCGGTCAGTCAGCGCGCTAGGCAATCCTATGCGATTGGCTGCAAACACACGCGTCAGCAGCAGCAGCTTGGGAGCGAGGTTACAGCCGCAACCATGGTCTGCTGATGAATATACGACCGGTCAACAGACGGCAGCCTGCATCTACATCCGTGGGTGGAGTCTCTTTGGTGGGAAGACAACAAAGTGCCTCTGTTGTCTGTTCTCAGCCGCCTGCCCGCCTTGGCTTATGTGTTGCGTTCGCTTCAGTCTACACGCCGGTTGATACCGAGATTCGAAGTCTGACTTGATATTCAGTTAGTTAATAGTTCCGTAGCGAATTAGTGATAACGAAATTACAAATCTGAGTGAAGTAGAAAATTAAAGTTAATAAACGGAGCAGTTAATCACCATGAAGAATGTCGAAATATGCGGTGTGGGATTACTTCACTAAAGTCGATTCTGATGCAAGCAAGGCGCAGTGCAAACAATGCAACAAACTGTTATCACTTGGCAGCGATAAGCCAAGACTTCAAACAGTTTCAGACTTGAAAGTTCAACTGGCAGGCTGCCACAAGGAGCTCCATGGTACGTACCTCAAGAGGGCCATGAACGACAGAGCAGAGCGTGCCGAGAAAAAGATGATAGAAGAGAAAGCGACTAAACATGCATTACCAAATTTTGTGCAGACGTCCTTGACATCAATGGCCGAGAGCAGAATGGTCTGGCCTGATGACCACGTTTCAGTTCAGCGAATTGATAAGTGCATCATGGACTTGATCGTTGTCCACATGTTACCCTACTCAGTTGTTTAAGGTGAAGCATTCAAAAGACTGAACATTAGTGATCCACTCAGTGCTCATCGCTATAAGGTGAAAAGCGAAAAATACTACTGAACAACGCTGATGCCTGCCACATGACAAAGTCGTGAAACACGTGACAAATCTGTTGCAGGAGGCCACATGCATATCGTTTATTACAGATGGAGCAATCCAGCAAAATCATGCTCATTACTCAGCTTCACGGGTCATATCATTCATGATGCTGTGTGGCGCAAAGTTATCTTGAGTGTGACGGTGCTGAAACAAGAGCATGATGGAAACCATGACGAAATGGGAGATTGCGGAGAAGATTAATGTTAGAGTGCGAGACAATGCTGCCAACATGAAAATGGCAATGAGACTCGCAGGCATCACTGATATTGGCTGCATGTCCCACACATTACAGTTGGTTCTGCGTGATGCCCTGTTCACGCAGACATCGGTAGAAGCTGTCGTCAAGAAGGCTCGCAAGATTGTTACTCACTTTAAGCATAGTGAGCAGGCTTGCCGTCATCTCGTGGAACACCAGCAAACGATTAAATCCCCAGAACATTCCCTACTGCAAGACGTCGATACGAGATGGAATAGTGCGTATCTTATGCTGGAGCGGCTGGTCGAACAGCGCAAGGCGGTTAATCTGTACAGTGTGCAGATCGACAGTCTCTCAATCGCAGAATGGGAACCATTTTAAACTGCAACGCTGGAGATTTGTGCTGATGATGCATGCATTTCTGTTGTAATCCCGCTCTTCTCAAATTTGAATAACATGCTCAACATTACAGCAATGTGCTGTCGATTCTCTGATATCAGTTCCTCGGCACCCTTCCTTGCTGCGACGCTGATTGACCCACGCTTCAAGGATTTCAATGTGCAGGAGGCAGTGGCAGTGAAGAAAGTGGTTCTGAACTTTCTATGCTCAGTACAAGAAAGCGCTATGAACAATATGACTGCGCCATCCGCAGCTTCGTCAATTGACAACGTTGAGCCAGGACTTGAGAGCAGCGAGACTTTCGAATCCGATGCTCAAGAGGAGCATGATTTGTGGGCTGTGCAAGACAGCCATCCTGCTAATGTGAATCCATCACAAAATGTCGACATTCAAACTGACCCATCTTCTTGATTCGGTAAAGTCACGTAGAATGGAAATAAAATAATAAAAATAAAACAATAAAATTCTCACGACGTTTCGGCCACAACACAAGTGACCTTCAGGTGAAGAAACAGGTCTGTCCAGA